GTAAGAAGTATTTCAAGGTCCTGGAGTGGCCTAGCCAGTCTCCAGATCTCAACCCCATAAAAAATCTTTGGAGGGAGTTGAAAGTCTGTGTTGCCCAGCGACAGCCCCAAAACATCACTAGAGGAGATCTGCATGGAGGAATGGGCCAAAAATACCAGCAACAGTGTGTGAAAACCTTGTGAAGACTTACAGAAAACGTTTGACCTCTGTCATTGCCAACAAAGGGTATATAACAAAGTATTGAGATGAACTTTTGTTATTGACCAAATGCTTATTTTCCACCATAATTTGCAAAATAAATTCTTTAAAAATCAGACAATGTGATTTTCTGGATTTTTTTTTTCTTTCTCATTCTGTCTCTCATAGTTGAGGTATACCTAGGATGAAAATTACAGACCTCTCATCTTTTTAATTGGGAGAATTTGCACAATTGGTGGCTGACTAAATACTTTTTTGCCCCACTGTATTTGTAAGCTTGGTCCATCTTTCTTTTTAAAAATCTCCTCACTGTTTTCCTCTATTTCAGTTGATAAGCCTACACTAGAACACAAGCCATCCAAGCCCGCAGCGCCAGTGGTCCCGCCCAAAAAGCCGGTCCCCCCTCCTGGGAAAGGCAGGCCGGGGAGCCTCCCACCAAAGAGGCCCGACAAGCCTCTCGCTCCATCGCCAAAGTAGGTCTAATATTCATCTCCTAGTCCAGCTTCTGTTCATCCTTCCTGCTGTGCGCCTTTCTGATCATCGCTGAACCCTTTTCCCTAGTGTCTTTCCCCCCACACATCACTCCTGTCTCTTGTATTTTATGATTACTCATCCACTTAAACGTGAAGGTTTTACCTAGAAATGTTCTGTTGAAGGACCTGGAAATTAGACAGCACTGACCTTTTTGATTCCTCCTCCTACAGTAATGTTTTTTCATAATTGTTTTTATTTGTACCTCTTGTCTCTAGGCACAATGGAGAGGTGCCTTCCACACGACCAAAATCAGAGTTTGAGCCATCGTTGCCCACCAAACCCAAAACCCTGTCTGGGGACTGGGGGGAGAAGTCCTCGGATGTGGGTATGTACAGCGTGCGCTTACAGATTATCCAAGCCCATATTACTGGGGTGATTTGTTTTACTTGATTAGGTCAATTCATGATTTTTAACTACAGAAGGTGAGCTGAAAAAGAATGCTTCACAAATATTAAATAATGTGTGTGACTTCCATTAAAACCCACGTTGATTTTTGGGGTGACAGTAGCTCAGTCTGTAGGGGAATGGCTTGCAAACCAGAGGGTAGGCTGGTACTTGGAGCAAGGCAGTGCCCATGAGCAAGGCACCACGGCAGTACACAGGAGGATAACTGGGACCTTTAGCAACGTAAAATGCGACGACAGTCTATTGAGCAAGAGATCGCAGATTTGCCGGCTAGCAAGTAGCAACTCCATGCAGCACTACTGAGCATGTTAGCTTAGCTTGTTAGCCTTAGCTAGCTGGGGAGCTTTGAGCTCGTCAGGCATGTTCCAGCAGCTCCGCCTTTTGCCCTTTTTTTGGATAAGGAGGGGACAGGTGGGAGTAAGATGCCGACGTCACGGCCAACACTTCACCGACCGGCTCCGCAACTCTGCAGAATCCTATGGGTGGCGTCACAGACACAACATCCATTTATATATACAGTCTATGCCCCTAGTACAGTGTTTCTCAAAGTGGGGGGGCGCAGAGGCATGAGCGGGCGAGAGAACAGCAGGAAAAATGGTTATGAAAAACATAATTTGGAAAATTATTGATTCGAAAATAATATGATACAGTACAAGTATCTCTGGGTCTCTGGGTTTCATTAAAGCTCGGCTCTGTGTGTGTGTGGAACGAGCCATTTTGTGTGCGAGAGAGAGCACACCGGTACCGGAGATCGTTGTTGTTAGCTTCTGGTGCTAGCGAGCTACGCTAACGTATTTAAGGAGCTTTTTCAACATCAAGGTGGAGGAGAGTCCTCTCCTGTCAGACTGAGAGGCTCAGTGAACTAAAGGACTCTCTCAGTGTTTAGATAGTTAAAGGAGACCTATCATGCTATATTTAAATGATATAGTGTATGACCATACCTATATAAGGTATATTTATACATTTTATTTTTCAAAATACCAAACAGATCATTTTTTAGCCATGCCTCATTTCGCTAATTTTCGCCCAATTCCAAGCCTGTCGTTGAAAATTCTGAGCAGCAGCTGACCACGCCCCCCTGCAGAAGAGGGGGGCATGAGCCGGCGAGAGTCACGTTACCATGTTTGCTGTGATTACGAGTGTGGAATAAACATGTCGTCTCAGAGCAATGCATGTGTTCAAGCATATTATCAATTTGATCCAAAAAACTGACCCTGATGCACCGGAGGTTTTGGTGGCGGTGCAAACATCTCGGTTGCAGCAGAACGTTTCTGAATGGT